TTTTGCAAACATTTTTTATTAAGCTTAAACATAAGATTTTAACTTTATAAAATTTACAAATATCTTTATAACATTTTTGTATTTATGTTAATTACATTACAAGCAACTATAAATAATTATGCAAATAAATAATTTATCATGAAGGTAAGAGAATGAACAATACATAAATAATCTTTTTTTTTTATTTAATTCACATCGTTAAACATGTTCTGCTAGCAGAGAGAAAAGCACCTCAGACAACACTTATATTTATAAAAGACATACCGGGAAAAAATGTTACATATATTGATATATTTTACATACAGTTATAAATAATTGTATATAAAATATGTCAATTTTTTATATAATTATATAATTTTATATAATTTTATACAATTATATATAATTATGTAACATTTTTCCCAGGATTTCAAAGATTTATAAAAAGACATCTAAATATTATTTTTTATAAGACATTTTTGGAGCATATAAATATTTACATTACCGATTGTAACATTTGTTGATTAAAATATATGACATATAGCCAATCTGATATAACTATAAAGATATCAATTAAAATTTGACACTCCAATGTATGTAATGTTCTCTAGGTACTTTACTCCATATTACTTTATTTATCAATTGACTCGCCACACATACATATACATACATATAAATTTCTATATACATATGATACATATGTTTTGTTTACATAGAGTACCGAAATATGATTATTGTTAAGCGTCTTATATTATAAAAACTATAACTCTTGAAATTCAATTCTAATAGATAAATTACTGGGCAAGAGCCAATTATTTCGCACTTCCGTGTGTTTCAAAAATATTTACAGTTTTATAATAAGTTCCCAGTTTCTTCACTTTCATTGATAGTTCAGTTATTTCCGATTTTAATGACCAATTTGAAAGCGGGAACATCGTTTCAAGTTTGATTGATTAAATTGATTATAAGATTGTCGAGTTGCACTTATAAGTCCAATTATACCTCTAATAGTTCGGTTAGTGCAACTATTTCTACACAACTACGGATTGAGCAAATTCTTGTCCAATCTTGAATTGTTTCTATCTTGTTTTCATTTTTCTCGTATTATCAGGTTTTGAAATATATTTGGTTTCTCAATGCGATCGAAAGTTTTCATTTCAAATGACAACATTAATTATTCTTTGTCGTTCAATTAATCATTATTTATCATTGATTGACTGCGTCTAAAATTCACATGATATTTTCATTTAATTCATATTTTGTCAATTGATAAAAATAAAATTTATTTGACAAAATATGAGATTTTTGGTATATTGACAGTTAATTGTTCGTTATTTGTTGATCGTCAAGTCCAGTGGCAAATCTTGCTCCATCTCGGTGACGTTCTCGTTTTTTACTCTGAGATCTTGGCCGCATGTGTTATTAGTATCCACGATATTGCTCCACATGTTTTCTAGCCCATACTGCAAATCTACTGAACCCAATAGATGTCGAAAGAGCGGATTTTGTGTCTTAAGAATTAAATCTGAGAGGATTTTCGTCTTCTGCAAGATGCTGTCATTGCTGTGGACACAACACTTATGTCGGCAGCAACAATCGACATTGGTATCTTTCGATTCCTCTTTAAGCGGCGTCTGTTCCATCTCCATCTTCAGATCCTCCGCGCGTTTGATTACCGAATGTCTTACTGGATCGCAATTGACTGTGTTCTCCTTCTTGCAAGGTGTACTGTTGACGATCGACTCGATATTTCTATAATCTACCGTAGTGGTCTTGGTAACACTATACTCCATGGGTTCCTCAGTTTTAATGGGCGTTGACTGCATCCCAATACGCGGCAACGAATCGGACACTCGACCTGGACTTGTATGAGGCGATGAAGCTACAGAACAATCCTTGATGATAGTGCTACCAGCAGAGTACATGGGATTCACTTGAATCCTGTCTGGTATGATGTAACTTTCATCGTACATCCTGGGATAAATCTTTATATCCTGCTCGTACGGTTTCGGTGGAGTGACTTGCTCCTGTTCTTTTCGTTGTTCCTGAAGGTTGTACATATTATTCCATTCGACAAAGGTCCTCTGTTCTTCAAAGCTGTTGCTAGTCTTCGGACTGCAACCCGACATGCTACTCTCAATACTCGAGTCCTTCTTATCCGACTCGGAATGCGCACTGCTGCTCTGCTTGTCAGGCGAATTAGCATCGAATCTTTTTTCCTGAATGTTGCTATCATCAAAGCTCTTCTCCTGCACCTTGTCATTGTTGTTCACATAGTGGCGATAGGTCTTGACGTGCTTTCTTAAAGACGATGGATCGGTGTACCTCTTCGGACAACCCGGAACCTTGCAATAATATGGCTTATCTACGGAATGAGTTCTAGTATGCTTGAATCTATCCGAGGAATTCGAGTAAGCTTTGTTGCAACCCTCAACAGGACAGACGTAAGGACGTTCGCCAGTGTGAGAACGTGCATGGATTTTCAGGTTCTCTGCTCTGCTGAAACTCTTGTCGCACTGGAAGCAATGGTGCGGCTTCTCATTCGTGTGTGTTCGTACATGGACCAGCATCTTGTACCTGTACGAGAAAAATACATTCATCAAGAATGCAAAAGTGATTGTTGTCTTACGCGCGCATAATATTACATCCGGAAAAATTTTACCTCGCGTTAAACCCACGCTCGCCTCTTGCGCATCCTTCCCATCCACAATAAAACAGACCCCGCGGACCAGGCGCCGCGTGCAATCTCCCAACATGTCCTGCAAGTTGCTCCAGGGACGTGAACCATCGGCCACAATCTTGCCATCTGTAAAAAAAGAATATTTAATTTAATTCTTTTAACAGAAAGAATGTAACATCAAGAAATAACTCAATAAATTTTATCCAATTTTTAATTAATTATCACTTTGCACAAATCGGAACTAATCGATCATGATATGTAAATATAGCCGTTTGATGCTCCTCTGAAGTATCGAAATATAATTTGCGTCACAAACGTGAACGTTTGTTGACTTGTCCAATTGATACCAATTGCATCCATTTTACAATTGCCGCCGTTTGACACTAATTTATTGTAACAGACAGACTAAAGTTCGGTACTATACTATGAACGACAACGAATTCTTTCAATTAAGAGACACGGATATGTCCACAGGAGGTCGTGGATCAAGGTAATTCTAAACGATTTAATTGGCCAAACACTTAGCTCTCGTCTTCAATTATTTCACTCACAAGTAGCAGGAATTATATAAATATTAATGTAGCTTCGAAATATATAATGTGAAAGATATTCTAAATTAACCTTGCGTTACCTAATATGCCCTCAAAATAATGTATTATATAAGATGACTCTGATTACTGTGTTTTCCATTAAGATAAATAGATACATTAATTGATAAATAGATACATTAATAAAAAAAGCTATATTTAGAAACATATGATTGATAAAATAAGCAAATGTTGATAGAAAAAATAATATTCTCTGCGATGATAGCGAGTGCTCTGGCTTTCACGTGCACATAGAGTGAAACAAATTATTTCTTTGTGATAATCGAAGTTCTCCAAAACTTCGCGATAATAAGAGTTTCTCTTTACTATTTTACTAGTTTTTATT